AATATCAGTAGTTCTAATGCGAACACTCTCATCGTTATGTTTGCAAGTTTTTGCAGATGCAGAAAAGTCTTTCTCTGCGCACCAGTTTGGATATATACTTTAGAGTAAAATATTGTTGATTTACATATATAGAACACTGTTCCTCATTCTTCCCAGTTTGGAACTCAGGTATGCCGCTGGCAAAAACCGAAGACAATTATGTCACGAACTAATGAGGTGTGAGTGTCAGGAGATGTGTTGTTAGGGACTTGGATGGAAGCTGAAGGTGCTGAGCGTGCAATATGATATCATTACACCCCAACGAACCCGGTCAACTGATTACCTACCCTCAAACAACTTATATTGTTGCTCTCTACTCTAACTCAAACAAGCAGCGTGGCTTTTCTATCTCGCCATAAAAACGAAGCCATATTCCGCCAAATCAAACAAATTAAAATATTGAACATTTTCATATTGCACCGAACGGAAAAATGATCTTATACCTGTAGCCCCGTCTACTTCGTTTTCGTGGACTTAAAAAATATGAATTTATTTTTGCAGAACAAACAAATGATGACAACTACAGCGATGAAGCCTACTATCACAACTACACGTTGCCGGATGGTGATAGATATGAGAGAACAAATTCAAAAATCTCACGTCATCGTCAGTATCACTTATTCTTCCATGCTCTTCAGGCTCATGCAATAAACGAAACGTAACAGGGACAAATAAAAAACGGGAGGAAACACGGATGAGACACATATTATTTTGTTAGCGGCAACAAATATACAGGTGATTAGGTTAATGATAAAAGGACGGATAAAGGTGTCCACACCTGTCCTGATGGTGATAAATACGAGGGTCAATTTGAGGATGGAACGAGACACGGGCGAGGCACATATCATTTTGCCAACTGCAACAAATACACAGGTGATTGGGTAAATGGTAAGAGAACGGGTGAAGGTGTCTTCACTTGACTTGATGGTGATAAATACGAAGGTCAATACAAGGATGACACGAAATATGGCCGAGGCACATATCATTTTGCCAACGGTAACAAATACACAGGTGATTTGGTAAATGATACGATAACGGGCGAAGGTGTTTTCACTTGGACTGACGGTGACAAATACGAGGGTCAATTCGAGGATGAAACGATTCATGGACGAGGCACATATCTTTTTGCCAACGGCAACAAATACACAGGTGATTGGGTCAATGATAAGATAATGGGTGAAGATGTCTTCAGTTGGGCGAATCGTGATGAATATAAGGGAAGTTTTGAGAATAATAAGGCCCACGGCACGGGCAAAATGCACTATTCGAATGGAAATGTTGAACAGAGCCTGTGGTCCTCTGGAGTGTTCCAGAATCCACTAAAACACTAATTTGTTTTCTGGCGCAGTGAATAAACAGTGTACGAAGATCATTTTATCGTCTTTGAACTAATAAAGAGTAATGATTGAAAAATGTCTAAAGTCGAGAATATGCGTAGCAGACCATTGGGAGTTGGTAATATGTGAAGAGAATGAATTTAAGGTTTGAAACGAGTGCTAGAATTCATACATATTTTGTTCGTTTGGGAGGATTTGCAGGATTGAACGAACGTTCTTGGTCTTTAAAGAGTCATCAGTAATCGATGACATTGTCGTGACTAGTTGACCTCGATGAGTCATGTTTATAGTAAAAGTTTTAGCCTTTTCCTATGATCTGTTTCTCAGTTATAGGGTTTCAATCCATCTGTGAAGAAATGCATCCTGTACCGAACAAATATCTTCATTTTATAGAATTTTTCAAAAGTTGAAATTTTTCGTAATATGATGTACATAGATAGAGAGTTCCGTTTTCTAGAATCTGGATGTATTTTGCGTTGCTTTGAGGAATCGAGTTGTGGGAAAAGTGGACCTGAAAGCTGGTTGTAAGATCAAACTTGTGCAAAAATTGCTACTATTACCAATGAACTGTGTGCCTGCTTCACCGACAGATAGATTTTCGCAACTAGAAAAGCCTAGTGTCGTATCTTTTCAATAACAGTTTCTCCCGGTTTGATCTTTATCGTGCCACTTGACGATTGCTTGATTTGTATGTTCGAAAAAGGCGAAATTGCCATAAGTAGTAACAGTCTCATTAGTCTGGTCTTTCAACTGATCAACTGCATTACCTGCTCCGTTACCATTGGCTACTAAGACACTTTTGGTTGCGTTTTGATTTCATCGAATAATGAACTTGTTCATATACTATAAGGTAAAGCATGTTGTCGTCCTTATGCGTAACTTGTCTGCTTGATTTGCGCGTTAGTATATGCAGTTAAAGGTTGCGTTCAGTACGAACAGTGCCTTATTTTCGTTAATGAAAGAGTCTTGAGGATTATTAACTTGTCTGAGTTCAAATTCTGGATTATCGCTACCAACCATCTGCGCTTGTGTGTTTTAGCTAAACTGGTCACGAGTGCGGAGTTTTGCCTACAGCTACATAAACACAAATGGAAGATTAATCTTAAGCTATATTGGAAATAGTTTTCTTCTAAACTGTGATGAAAATGGAATATTTGAGGTATATTGCTAATTTTTACACTCTCGTTTGATGAATAATAGAAGTCTAAAAAGCCTCAGCAAGTTATCTTATTTTATGATGCGCCTTCATTTTGAAATTGGCTTTGGGTTTGAAAATAGGAACAGTTGATTTCCTTGGTCAACACGTCTGGTAATTTTGAATTCCCAAGCAGTGAGAAGAAAGAGCGTATGTATGGGTTTTAAGTTGGGCCTTCTGCTCACTTAGACACTCTCAAATGTATAAAATTCAATGCTAATTGTCTTCTTTACTTGTGCACTAGTATTAATTGACTATATCTGTAAGCTTTCGTTTATTGAATGAGTTGACCCAAAAAAATTTTCAACAACAGTGTATGAAAACGGAAAGATGCTAAAATATTTTATCGGTTTTATCAGAGATTTTATGCACTGCCTTCTTTGCGTTTCGTCTTTTGAGAAAAATATAATCATGTGTTAAAACTCAAGTCACTGCAATTTCTGGTCCAGTTCACGTTTCATTTCACTCAATCTCATGCATTTATACAAAAAGAAAAGACTATTTAGATAAGTTTATCAATGAATTCAATCAATCGAGGGACATCAATACCATCGAGTCGAACAGCGAAGAGATAGCTCAGGAGAAAGCTAATGCATAGTGAAACTCTGTAGCTAGAATAAGAGAGATGGTTTGATCAATCAATCATCATTAATTCACGAACTGATTAGATAGTTATAATATGAACGTTGCAGACACACGATACAGATGCAAAACAGCAAACAATGACGCTAAGTATGCCTATTCTTTTCGATTTAGCAATTGGTACTGATAGAGTTAGAAAACACAGAAGTATTACTTGATACGATTGAAAGTATTCAGTGAATAACTGTTCAATCTATTGGTAGCGTTATAGCTGGAAATGTGACTGTGACTATCAATGTATTCTCTTCACACTTATATCCTTATGTAATCATGCATTAGATCATTACTTATTACTTAATAACAGCACAAAAACTTATATCATTTTCACGTGTTGAGTCGATCATTGGTTTCGATTTATTTTTCGAAAACTTCCTAATTAATCACATTGAATAGTCAGGAACTAAGAGAAAATGGAAATACATCACTTTAAATAATATGAGATTGCAACTAAAAAATCCTTTCTTTCTTTTTTTTCTTCGTTCTGAATAGTCTAAAGAAATATAATAGAAGTGACATATCTTGCAACACATCGTTAGATGAAATAAGATCATCTATCATATTGTCCAAGTTCTTTCATGAATAATTACCTAGATGTTCTCTATGTTGACTTGTAAAAACTAATAAACATACATATACTATTTAATAGTTGTATCTTATGTGTGTAAAATATGTTGTTTATGTAGTTTGACGCAAATTTTCTTTTCTTTCTTACTTTATAGACTGTGGCATCAAGAGTTTGTAATGTCTATAGAGATAATTTAGATAATAGAAAATCAAGAAAGTCTATTCCTGCAAATGTTAATTCAAAGTACCAAGATCAAACCGATGAAGCTTCATTGGCCAATCCGTCAGATAATGTATCATTTGTACATATATAGCTCCTGAAACAGCAAAGTTTTTGGGCTTCATTTTTTTTTCAAGACTCGAGACAATTAAGACAATATGAACATGAATACTTAATCGATATGTCTTTTTGAACTCGTTAAATCATGCATTAAAACTATAAAAACAACTGATAACAAATGATGAACTACATAGATTATGAAACGATCATCGGCAGCTTTTATTTGTGTTTGAAACATGTGGGTATATTGTGATAGAATCGCCATAGGAATGAATTTTATCATGCCTATTTCTGAATTACTTTTTGACTTTAGTTAACTAACTAAAATATCACTTGTCCATGCATATTAATAAAAATAAAAATAAAAATAAAATAGAATTTTGTTTTCTCGACAAATGCATTGAAGATTGGAGTTCTCTGCTGCAATGATCATAAGAATTAGTATTTAGAAAATGTTTGTCCCAATAGAAAATAAAAATTTCAAGACCAAACTGATGAGATGTGGATGTAAGAATATGGGCATGTTGTCTGTGCAAGTCTTCTCTTCACTCACATCCAGTCAATAATATGCCTAAACTCTGGGTGTATGCTACTCGTATTATACAAGAAAAAGTGTATTTTAATGAAAGTAATAATGATATCTTATTTGGTGTTGAAAGATTGATTCGTTTTCTTAGTTTAATATTAAGTTCAATATTTATTACAGCAGATTCTTAAGAAAATCTTTTTCTCCTCTTTTCTTCGCTTTAATTTTGTTATCAAACAACAGACTGTAAGTAAGTCGATGTATTTGAAAGCACACCATTTGGAAGAAGAACAAATGTTCATCAAAATACAATGTTGAGTAGAAACAGTCGAGAAAAACTTCAATTATTATTGATGAAATTGAAAACTTGAAGAATTAGATTTTCTTCATTTTTCATAATAAAAAGTTCTAAAATTATCAACAATAAGAATGTAAAATATTGGTAGGAGTATCAAAGTTGACTATCATTCCTGTGTCCAACACAAGAATACGATCGTATTTTGCCACTGTATTGAGTCGATGAGCAATTGTCAGAACAGTTCGATCTTGAAATTTATCTTTAAGTACTGTTTGAATCAGATCATCTGTTTTCTGATCGACATTAGCTGTTGCTTCATCGATCAATACTATTTTACTTTTCTTCAAGATGGCTCTTGCAATGCATATCAATTGACATTGACCAACACTCAGCGTTTTACCTGATTCACTAATAGACATTAGAAGACCTGCTGAATGATTGCTCACAAACTGTTTAAGTTGAACATCTTCAAGTGCCATCCAACATTGTTCATCAGAATAACTATTGAATGGATCAAGATTATATCGAAGGGTTCCATTGAATAAGATAGGTTGTTGAGGAATAACACTCAGATGAGATCGAAGATGATTAAGTGTGATGCGACTTATGTCAACACCATCAATGAAAATTTTACCATCAACACATGATCGATTAACAAAGCGAAGGATGCCTTTGAAGAGTGATGATTTTCCAGCACCTACATACATGAAAGATATTAGAAAATCTATTATCTCAATCTTAATACATACCAGTCCGACCAATGATGCCAATCTTCTGACCAGCCTCTATGTTCAAATCAATATTTCTAATTGCATATTGTAAGTTCAATCGATAACGTAATGAATAATTGCTAAATTGAATATTTCCATGAGCTGGCCATTTTGGTGAAGTTTGTACAAGACCTTTGTAGCTTCCTTCATCCTCTTCACGTGGTAAATTCGAATACTCATCGATGCGTTCACCACTTATCATCATCATATTAGCTTCGGACAACTGTCGAACGGTCCAACTGAACATTAATGCTACATACATTGCATATGTTAAACTGAGTGCAGCTGCTGGCGATTTGTTATGATCACGAACATTTACTAGTTGAATAGAAGCAGCTAATATTATAAACGAACAAACAACACCCAATATTACTGAAAACCATTGCAATACAGCTTTTATGATGAGAAATGCAGATGTATGCACATTAATTCTATCAGCAATTAGTTGAATAAAACTGTTTTCTGCTTTCAATGCACGAATTGTTGGTAGGCCATTCAAAGATGATGAAAAGAGTGCATAAACAGGACTACGGGTGATACTTTCTAGTCGTGTAAATCGGCGTGAACATCTGAGGAAAAAATAAATTAACAACCAAGTCACTGGTACTAATAAGATAAGTACAAGAAAAACATATGGATTGATAAAACTAATCATGAACAATGCACCAGTCACTTGTAAAAATCCTTCTATTCCTTCAAACAACACGATCGGCAGTAACTCGTCGATGACATACTGATCTTTGCTTGCCCGATTCAGAATTCTTCCACTTGGATTACTTTCAAAAAACTGTACTGATGTATATAGAAGTCCTTGTAACATTCTATTATGCAAATTATTGGAACCATTTAAAACAACAGTAAAATAATAGTTCGTACGAACTAATTCCGTAATGACTAAAGCAATTAGCAAACCAAAATAAATGCAAACAGATTTCGTTGAAATTGGCTGATCTTCACCAGATTGTTTCAAACATATGTTCAGCCAGTAGTTAGCAGCATTATTTAATGCTTCACCCAACAAAAACACAACAATAAGTAAGCATAAGCCAATTCTACCAAATGGTGGTGCAGTAAAGAAATGATACCAAATATGCCAACTGGCACCATCATTTAGTGGTTTTTCATCAACTATGATCGATTGATTGTCATCCATCGATTTATGATCATCAAATAGACTGGATAATCTTGAATCTTCATTTCTATTTGTATCATTTTCTCTAATACTATATTCATTCAAACAGCTTTGTTTATCAATATGACCATAGGAAAGATATATTATTTGATGTGATTCACTAAGAAATTGAGTTTGATGAGTAGCTATTAGACGAGTTTTATTTTTTAACAATCCATATGGACCAATACATTTTTCATATATTTGTTTAGCTATTTTATGATCAACAGCAGATAATGGATCATCAAGTAGATAAATGTCTACATCAGTATATAAGGCACGAGCTAATGATACTCTTGCTTTTTGTCCACCGCTTAAATTAATTCCATTTTCTCCAATCATTATAAGATCATCACGAGATCCAAATACACTAATATCATCATCAAGACAACAAGCATGTAGAACATTTCTATATCGTTGTTGATCAAATGGTCGATTTAAAAGAATATTATTACGAAATGTATCTTCAAATATCCATGGTAATTGAGCAGCAAAAGAAAATGAACTATTATTTGTATTTATTTGACCATCGGTAAGATTCATTTCGCCAAGAATAGCAGCAAATAAAGATGATTTACCAGAGCCCACTGGTCCTACAATTCCCACAAATGTACCTTGTTCAATAGTCAGATCAGACAATGATAGACAAGGCATGTCGTTATGCCACGAAAAAGATGCATTAGAAATCATTATTTTTCCTTTTTGTTGCTCATTGATTAAAGACGCAGATAATGAAGAATGATTGTCTTGTTTCATGGCAAGACGCATAAATAAGTCTATTCTTCTTGATGCAGATTTGGCCACACTTATCTTCTCCAATGCCAGTGGTAGATAATACATAAAATTGACTCGCATTAAGGAAAAAAATGAAAGAGCTGGAAAAGTATTAGCTATATCCAATGGATAGCCTAAAAGCCAGGCACTGCCGAACGTGACGAGTGCAAAAAGTGATGTAGAGGTAAAAAATAGAGTTACATTTAGTGCATGAAAGTATGATGCACGTCGAATACTTGCTAATTCATGTTCTCGCATTTGAACTATACGATCTCCTAATGGTTTCTCCCAGTTGTACATTTTAACAATATGGCATCCATGAATGAACTCACTAAATGCCTGTATACGTTTATCACTACATACAACTGTTGCTTCATAATATTGAGCAAATTTTCGACCAAAATACAGCTGAATAAGAATAAATATAGGCAATAAAGCAAAGCCACACAATGCTGGTATAGGTTGCACGATCCAGCAAAGTAATCCAAATATGATGATAGTCTCGAGAACTCCTTCAACGAGATAGCCCAAATATGAGCACAATTCTTCAAATTTAGACACATCATTAGCAACTAAGTTCATAATTTGACCTATGTTCATATCTTTCAATGATGTCGACTTTAGAGACAATACACGTATGTAAATGATCATAGTAAGTGCATTCAAAATTCGTATACCAACACGAGCCGAACGAAAAAGGTTTTGTCGATGGATGAATGCTTGTAGAATCATCAAAACAAACATTGATATGGCATATATATAGCTAACAGTATAAGATCCTTTTTCATTCATTATATTCAAAAGAATTTGACGAAAAAGTAATGGTTGAGCGATACATGTGATCAAGTAAGGAATTAAAAATAGACTGGCAAATATGTATTCTTTTCCAAACTCTTTCCAAACAATATTCCATGTTGTTGTTAATGACCAGTCATAAGCAGATAGTCTATCTAATAATAACATAGCCTTATCAACATGAGGTATATCATCAAGGTCATCTACTGTCAATGATCGTTTATATGCAACATAAAGCAATGGTTTCATCCACCACCAACAAAGTACATATAAAAATCGAGTCCAAGATGATTCTGCCCACTCAAGACGAGATGAATGATGTTGATGATGGTCATTATTAATATATGAGGTTTTTTTATCATTGAGTAGCGTTCTTCTTTCTTCATCTTCTTGCATCGTTATTACCTTCGCCATTGAAATGAATATGATTATTGACTATAACGTTTTTGTTGCACGTATTCATCCAGAACAAATAAATATTGATAGCTGCATGTGGGCTTTTTTTTTATTATTGTATAGATCGAATTGTAAACACCATAAAAAAGAAAAAGTATGCATTAATGACTCAACTATGCAAAAAATAAAGCAGTAACCCGAAAAGCAAAACATTGATCGAGAGAGAGAATTAGCCGCTAGAAAAATGGGTTGACACATAAAATAGTCAAGAGTCTCATGAGAGTATAACAAAAATAATTACAAATAGAAGTTTAAACACAAAGAAAAAGATGAAGACACTATCAACAAACTGAATATTACCATAAATAACCCTATGTTCATTTGATATATGCAGCATGTGATCTAGCAATGGTATAGCCAAGAGTTCTTACATTACGGGTCGTTTCTCAGCTAGAATATTTTGAGAAGTCTGTAGTAATGGGTAATCAAAAAAGCGACTAATCTACAATTTTTTATGATGTAGGTATGGATGCAAACGTCTTATTCATTTTTGAAACAAACCAATAACCACATGACATCCACACCCTCAAGATCATTTTCGTAACAAAAACACTTGGTTTTGACAAAATAGTATCATTACTTCTTAATATTGTTCATAATTCATAAGATACATCGACATAATCTATATGAAAATCAATATGAAAATCTTAAATGTAGAAAGATAACCGCTTTATGCTGCAAAAAATTCTCATTTCCACTTGGAACCGGTATCGACTCGTTAAAATGGATAGACTCATATGAAATCTTACAACAAAATCTAATACTGTTAACAGACACGATCTTTATAAATCTATTCATGGATTTTTTTGAATAGAATCGATTTTTTTATTTGGAAAACACATCGTCAAATTTTATAAAACCATATTATTTCTATCCACAATCGAATCATTCTAAATATAAGGCTTTTGAGATAGTGTGTTGAAGTATTGATATAATTTTACGATCAAGTCGTTTTAGAAAAAGTAAAATCAAATGTTTATGGATGAAAAATCAGAATCTATTGATTCCTCTTGTTAGATTGAATATTTCATCTCATATTGACGAAGAAACATCATATAAATGTACATAGAGTAGTAACTGAAGATGAAATACTGTAAAACACAAGTCGCACACACACATTCTGTCTCAAATTCTACTGTCTACATTCTAAAAGATATAAATCATTACTAAGATCCGAACTATCAACCGTGGGCATAGCCAATTTATATTTCGAATTGTACTGACTTGGTTCATAATTACATCAGAATTTTGCACATTTTATATTTGAATGACTTTCTTCCAATGACAATTCTGTTCATTTTCAATATAAACAGTTAAAAAACAAAATCATAAAACAGACTTCTGATTGATCGATTTAATGGCATCGTTTTGTAAACATTTCATCAAAGGTCGTTTGTAAGCTATATTGAAGATTATAATATCATGAAATACTTCTATGAAAACCTGGAGAATATTGCACTATGTATTTATTTCACCATTGTTTACAAAAGAAAAATATTAAAAGCTTCTCTACGTAAAACAAAAATGATTTGTAACTATACTGAACGACTTCCAGAAGACTTGTTATATATCTTTGATTAGAAAAAGGATATAATAAGTTTCGAACGGTTTCTAATCTTCACTTTACAGTGCATTGAAAAATATAGAACAATAGTGTTTTTAAATGTACTTTTCGAGATGTATTCATAAGCTAAGAAAACAATGAAGAGATCATCATAAGAAGATAACCATCATAACTCAGCGTGACATTTTGCTGGAAAGTAATGAAAGTTTCACATTTGCACTTTTTTCCACTTCGTTTGGTTTAACTTCCTAATTTGAAAGAAATGCTGACATACCCATCATTTAATGATCTTCTTCTCATAACGTCTTTTCCTAATGATGATAAATAAAAAAACGATATTCATCTAATAACTCTTATTTCATAAAACGAATACATTTAAGAGAGAATAATTTTGAAGTGAAATGCCGAATAACACAGTATAAATTCATGTTAGAAAAATGCTGTAATTCAAGTGGAACTACAACAGAATACTTGCTCAAGAATTAGCCAAATCCATTCAAATAGGAAATCTTCTCATTTTGCAATACAGTAAATAAATTGCCAAACAATAATATAAATTGTTAACGAATTTACTGTATGATATATAATCATTTTGTTTATCAAAGTAACGAGTAATAAGCTAGTCTCATGACATTTATCAAATCATTTGGTTTTATATAAGGAGCTGCTTGCGAAGGGTAATACATTGATAATACTGAATATAAAGAACTAAAGTTAGAAAAATGCAATAAAAATTCTGCATGTTTTTGTGTATTAATATATTTTTTGGTGGATATAAAAAAAATAAATTTTCGAAGACTAGATAATATTAGAGGATGTGTCAGTTTTGGATGATAAAAATTGCAAACCTAATTTCTTCTTTGGTAAACGCCATATGAAAAAAATACTGTAGATTGAGCTTGTTTTTCATCCTCTACTCAATAATATTATCATCATTTC